TCGACGCGCACCCGGCCCTGCGCCTGCACTCGGTCTCGTTCCGCCGCACCCCTGCCGCCTCCGAGTCCCCCTGCACCTTCGCCTTCCCTGTCCCCGGCTTGGGGCCCCCGCTGCCCGCCTTCGCCGATGCGCCCGGCGCCGAGTCCGCCGGCTGCCCTCTGGCCTTCAGGTTGGACCCGTTCACCGACTATGGCTCCTCGCTGACCGTCACGCTGCCTCCCGAGCTGCAGGCGCACCAGCCCTTCCAGGTCATCCTGCGCTACACCTCGACCGATGCCCCCGCAGTGAGTCCCGCCCGGGTGGGCGCCAGGTCTGTGGGTGGTCGCGGGGGGGGGCCTGCAGGCACCCTTCGCTTTACTGCTGGGTCAGGCGATGTTAATCTGCACCCTGCTTCTGGGACACCTACAGAGAGCGAGGAGGAGCCTGGTGCCCATGGTAATACGTTGCCTGCAAGTTCTTGGGACCTTTGAGTGTAGCCCCAGATACTCAATAGCATGTTTCTTATCTGGGGGAGACTTCCCGGCAGGGGTTATGCCCCTAACTGGATACAAGAGCAGCTTCTGGTGGGCCGCAGCTCAGCCAGCTCTAAGAGTCCAGCCTTGAGAGATGTTCTGGGAGTGCATGATACAGAAGGGCCAACTTACGACCTGGACCTTCAGATGGCTTGAGGACACCCGGTTCTGTTCTCTGGAGGTGGAATGAGAGACAGTGGGTGGCAGAGAGGCCTTCCTTGTAGCCTGTGGTGCCTGGGCTTTGGGCTCCCTGAGCTGGACTGTGACATGCTGGGGCAGGTGTGCCCCACCCCCGGTAGACACACAGGGCTCTGCTGAGGCTTTCTGTACAGGCGCCCACCATCCCACGGGCCCTGGTGGAAAGGGCTAGTGCCGTGGCAGCACAGCCAATGGGTTTGCAGAATGGAGCAGGACCTTTGACTCCAGAAGCATGATGCCTCCCTCCAGCTCCCCAGGTAGTAGCGTGCTCATGTGACATCTACCATGGATACATAGCACACAGAGAGCTCTGCAGGGCCCTTGGAAAGTCCATCTGCCACTGCCTGGGGAGCCACAAAGGAGCAAGGTGACTTCTGGGCAGAAAAAGGCCAGATGGGATTTACATCTGTGGGCTTCCTGCACCCTTCTCGGGAGTCTTGATTGGGACTTGCCACCTCTTGGCAGAATCCCTGCCATGGGCTGGTCTTCGGGGCTCAGCCCTCCGCCTGCTGGGCAGGGCCTCTGCAGGTATTATGTGCCAGGTGAAAACTGAGGGGCGAGCTGCTTCCCGGTTTCTACCTGTGAATATGTCCTGTGTGTGCTTGTTCTGCCCATTGAGAGCCGAGTGGTGGGAATAGAGCCCTCACTGGGCTGCAATACAAGGCCAGTGGACAAGGGTGGCCTGATGTATGCAGCTGTGGTGGCTCCAGACAGGGAAGAGCTGCATGGTCCTCACGGACTGGGTGGCTCCAGAGCGACAGAGTTGACCCACACCCGTGGAAGCACATTGGCTCCTAACCTCAGGCACCTGCTGTTTGTTGCACTGGAGCATGGAACAGCTCAGGGCTTCCATCCCTGTCTGCCCTGTGCCTAGTGAGGATGTAGCAGGAGCCATCTAGGTTTCCCAGGAAGCCCTGACAGCGGGCTCCAACTCCAGGGGGGGGCAGATTGGAGGTGCTGTGGATTCTAGGGCTCGTCTGATCCCCAGCTGTTCGTTCATCCTCACCCCAGCAAGAACAGCTTTTTTTCCTGCCCTATAGTATCTGAAGTTGGTTGGCCCATTCCTTATCTACCAGATTATCAGCTGCTGTGCCCTGGAGGCTCCAACCTCTGGGGTGGGGCCCAGTCCAGCTCATCCCTCTAAGGTAGTTATCGCTGGTGTCTGGAGAAGGCAGCCCGCCTGCTGGAACCATAGGGTAGGAGGAAGGCAGAGCCCGAGGGTTCAATGGACGAGGAGTGGGAAGTGCTGCCCCTGAAGCCTAGCTGGTGTAAGGGGAGAAGGTAGAGATTGAAGAGCATTTGGGAGTCTGTCCTCCAAAAGTGGATCAGGAACCCACTGGCAACAGGATCCACCGCAGGGACGGTCTCCTATTCAGGTCCCAGGTCCCAAGCCTCTGGAGGCTACATTTTGGAACCAGCGCCCCAGCAGAAAAGAGAGATACATCTGCAGACTTGCTTTGGGGAGAAGACAGTGATGGGCCAGTCAAAAAGACTTTGGAAGAGGTCCCCGAATGCTCGCAGAGGCCTGACCAGGTCTACATGGCAAGCATCCCGCTCAAATCTGTGGCCTATTGGCAGGCAGCTCCTGGGTGTGGAGTCTGTGGGGCAGGCATCTGTCTCTAGAGGGGCAGGAATCTCTTCCAGGTCTGGGGTCTGTGAATTAGGCATACCCCCAGGTCCGTGAAGCAAGGCATTACTCCCCAGGTCTTGGGACTTTGGGAAGGGTGTGGGGCGTTTTACCCACCAACCCCACAGTTCCCCAGAGTTTTCTTGAGTGGGAGCAGCAGGAAATATTAGATAGAAGGATTTAGATTGCGGAGATAAACAGAAAATAAAGGATAGCCTGGAGAGGGCCTGGAACTTTTCCAATGGGCCCCGACCGTCTCTGCCCCAGGGTATTTATAGAGACGCCAAGGGGTGGAGCAAAAGACCTCCTCCCCCAGCACAGCCAAGTGCAGACCATCTCAGACACCTGCACTAAGTCCCGTGGCCCTAATCATCCACTATGTGGACCTGCTGGGTAAAGCCACGAGGAACCCAAGAACGGGCTCCCACCAAAAGGCACATCTAGGGTCTCTATGAAGACAGCACCCCAGATCCTAGGGTCTCTAGCATAGTTTCCACTGTCACCACCGCCCCCAGTCTGGGGTCTGTGGGCAAGCATTTACCTCCTTCCCCAGCGCGAGTCTGTAGGCAGGCAGTGCCCCAGTTCTGGGGCCTCTGGGCACAGGCATTCATTCGCACACAGCTCTGGGCTCTGAAAGCAGGCATCTCTCTCTGGGTCTGGGATCTGTCGGATGGATGGCTCCCCCACACACACACAAGGTCTGTGGAAGAAGCAGCCCCACCACCATCCCTCACCTGGGGTCCCGGAGGTGTCGGCCCTGCTGAGTCCGGCGGACTCTGTTCCCCATGATGACAGTCAGCCTTGACTGCACGCTTGTCCACTGAGAGAGAAGTGTCGAGGGTGTTTCCTGTCTATGATTCCTGAGAGGACCCATGTGCCCTTGATCACCAAAATGAAAAATTCACTTTGTTTCAACATTCCTGTTGTCCTAGCAGAGGGTAGTGTGGGGGCAGACATTGCTTTGTAGCTGGAGCTCCTTCGTGGGGGCGGGGCCTGGTCTGGACATCGGAAGATTCAGAATGTCTCAACAGCCATGGCTGGAAGCAGGTGGGCTAGGCCAGCGACCTTGGCCCTGAGAGGGCAGGCAGAGGGGACAGCAGTTACTGGGATTGCTCTCTGCTGCAGCCCCTCCCTCAAGGCGCTGGCCTCGGAGACCCTCCCTTTAGCTGTCCCGTCATCCCAGAGCTGCATGTCTAGCCTCCACTCTAGCCCCACAGGTTGGCCAGCACTGGGGCTGACTCCCTCTGTGCCGATGTAAGGAAGAACTCGTTTCCCATGCTTCCCTGCTCCTAAGATCAGATTAGCTACCAGCCTATGGGAATTTGAACCCATGTGTGCTGACCGTCCCTCAGTTTCCCTTCGGAAGTTCGGCTAACACCATGGTGGGAGTTTTCCTCTTGTCCCCGGGCAGTGCTGGGAGATGTCGTGGGCCAGCTCCAGACATGTGGCCTCCTGTCTGGAACAGGGCCGGTTGGTGTCTGGCATGCACAAACCGGATTGACAGTTCCTGCCGGGGGAGGGGAGTGAGTGTACCAGGTGTGCAGGCTGCAGACTGCAGGGGCAGCCGTGGGCCTGTAACAAAAACCGCGAGGGCCCTTCCCAGCACCCGTTGTCCCCAGGCTCCAGACCTGGAGCCCTGGACCAGGTGACAGCGTCTGCTTCTGTTTCCCCTTGCCCGCAGATCTGGTGGCTGGACCCAGAGCTGACCTACGGCAATGCCAAGCCGTTCGTCTTCACCCAGGGCCACTCTGTGTGCAACCGCTCCTTCTTCCCATGCTTCGACACGCCCGCCGTCAAGTGCACCTACTCGGCCGTCGTCAAGGTCAGGATCACGGCTGGCGTTGTTCCCGCCCCCTTTGGGTACTGTAAGGGGCTAGCGCGTACAGCGGGCAGATGAGTTCCGGCCCACCTCCTCCGACTCTTCCTGCCTGCCTAGACTAGGATCCCAGCCGCTAAAGGTCATTGTCTAGTGGGACAGTCGTGCAGAGAAGCCTCAGGGAGGCCGGGAGCAGGGACCAAGGTGCAGCACCGATGAGGACATACTTGACAATTGGGTTCCAGGACCTCTAAATCCGCAGGAACCTGATGGGGTTTCTTGAGTTATAGCCAAAGCATAGTTGGCAGCCTCCAAGTGAGGCATATTTGGGGTTCCAGTGTGTGGTCCTCTGAAGGAGACATAGTTCCTTGACCCAACCTGAGAGGCTATCTGATAAGGATTTGAGGGCTTCCTCATGGACATGGAGTTCCCCATCCTGGGTTGTGGTGGTCCATTCTGGGGGTGTGGAGGGCTCCCTGATAGGGCCATAAGGTTCCCTGTCACAGATAAGGGGTCCTCTGACCCGAGTTGTGGAGTCCCCCGGGAGGTGGTTGTGTCCTGTAGGCTACCGATCCTCAGCCTAGCCCATTGCAGGCCCCGTTAGGGGTCCAGGTGCTGATGAGTGCGACGCGGAGCGTGTACATGGAGGAGGAGGGCGTCTACCACTTCCACATGGAGCACCCTGTACCTGCCTACCTCGTGGCCCTTGTGGCCGGAGACCTCAAGCCAGCAGACATTGGGCCCAGGTAAGGCACCCTCTGCGCCCTGCTGTACTGTTCTGGGCAGCTGGGACTCAGGAAGAGCCCAGAGCCCATGCGCATGACTGCCATGCCCCTTCACCGGCTGCCTTCAAACATGCAGCTAACTGATCCATCCAGTGCCTTGCCCAGCGGTCTGTTGTCACTCCCGGGGCTGCCACACAACCGGCCGTACCCTCCAGGGTAACCCGTTCCTTCAGTTCACTGACAAAAGGATCTGAATAGACCTTGGCTTTACTATGCAGTGCCCCTACCTGTTATGGGAAGGGCCACATCCAGGGACCAGGGCCAGACAAGGCATAGGGGGGATCCAGTGGGGTAGGTAAGGTCCGGGCTTTTCCGCCTCAGCCCACCTTCTCTGCCTCGTGACAGGAGCCGTGTGTGGGCTGAGCCATGCCTCCTGCCCACAGCGACCAGCAAGCTGTCGGGAGTGGTGGAACAGTGGCTGAGTGCCGCAGAGCGCCTGTACGGACCATACATGTGGGGCAGGTACGTCCCGTCCCCTGGTTTCCCTGCTGGCTTCGCTCTTTCCCCATAGAAAAGGAGGTAGGGCCAGACTGGGCGCTCCTTGTCGGAGCCCGGGGCCTCCTAGCCTCTGTCTCCTGCGGGGCTGGGCTGCCTGGGCTGCCGTCCCAGGCGGGAAGTATAGCTGTGGGCCTGGTGGGTCGCGGTCAGAGCCCTCCCATCCCTCACCCTGCACCCACGGGCACAGATACGACATCGTTTTCCTGCCGCCCTCCTTCCCCATCGTGGCCATGGAGAATCCGTGCCTCACCTTCATCATCTCCTCCATCCTCGAGAGTGACGAGTTCCTGGTGATTGACGTCATCCACGAGGTGGCCCACAGCTGGTTCGGCAACGCCGTCACCAACGCCACTTGGGAGGAGATGTGGCTGAGCGAGGGCCTGGCCACCTATGCGCAGCGCCGCATCACCACGGAGACCTATGGTACTGTCTGGGGTGGCCGCGGCCAGGGTGGAGTAGCCTTGGGCTGGCTTAGGCACTAGTTGCCAGGGTTGCAGAGCCCTGCCTGCCTAGCCTCTGGCCTGACAGCGTCTAACAGTCTCTGGGGTTGGGTGGTGGGTAGAGAGTGAAAACCCTGCTGTAGATGCTCCAGCCCCCCTGACTTCCACCTTTTTTCTACTCTGGCTTCACTCAGGGGCTGCCTTCACCTGCCTAGAGACAGCCTTCCGCCTGGACGCCCTGCATAGGCAGATGCGGCTTCTTGGGGAGGATAGTCCAGTTAGCAAGTTGCAGGTCAAGCTAGAACCAGGTACTCTCTACTCCAGGCTCACTCCTGGGAACCCATGCATACCATCCCCAGGCCCTCCTTTCCTGCTGTTCACTTGCCCTGCTGGGGCTCCTCTACCTCACCATGCCTAAATTCCTTCCAAGGCCAGGCTGGGTGCCCTTAGCCCCAGGGAAAACTTCTCAGGTGCCCCTGGCTTGCCACACCCCCACAGGGTCTGAGCAGGGTTGCCATGGGGGCAGAGCAAGCTCCGTCGCTGTGTACCCAGGACGTTTGGTACTTATATGAGGGACTGTGCACTTAACCACGCCTCAGTTCTAGACTTCTGCCCGAGCCCCACCATGCAGGGCACAGGTATCAGGTGGCATCCCAGACAAGGTGTCTCCCCGCAGGAGTGAATCCCAGCCACCTGATGAACCTGTTCACCTATGAGAAGGGCTACTGCTTCGTCTACTACCTGTCCCAGCTCTGTGGAGACCCCCAGCGCTTTGATGACTTTCTTCGAGTAAGCACGTGGGCCCTGCCACCTCCTGGCCCAGACTTCTTCCAGCCGGCAGACTTGTCCCCTCTCTGGGAAGAAGGGGCCTGGGGACTGGATTGGGACCTGGCCTCCTGAGGCACTGTTCCCTCCCTCTCCTACCCTTTCAGCAGGGCCTGTGGGCCACCTGGACTGTGATGCACATCTTTAGAAGATGTCCCAGTGGGCCAGCCCTGCTCTGCCAGAGCTAACCATCCCCAGCCTTCCATACCTGCTAAGGCCATGCCCTCATCTCACAGGCCTATGTGGAGAAATACAAATTCACCAGTGTGGTGGCCCAGGACCTGCTGGATTCCTTCTTGAGCTTCTTTCCCGAACTGAAGGAGCAGAGCGTGGACTGCCGGGCAGGTGAGGCCAACTACCCTCCTGCAGGCCTAAGGGCCGGGAACAAGATGGCAGCCATGACTGGAGGAAAGCTTGTCAGCCCCTACCACACAGTGCAGGCTCTAGGTCAGGATGCCGTAAGAGTAAAGAGGAGTCTGCACCTCCTAGTCTAAAGGACCATGGCAAGGAGAAGGGGACAGAGACGTCCTGGAAGAGGTGACCCCCAGGCGAAGCAGGCCAAGCTAAGCAGCCAGTAGGAAAAGTCCATGGAAAGAGCATGCAAAGTTCTTAGAGGAGGATCAGCAAGGTGGTGGGATTGGCCCTGGGACTAGCTGACCCTGCTTGGGCATAGTAGGGGTCTCCTAGGGCCTGATAGCTTGAGGGAGACACTGGAGGAGCTGGATATCCAGAGAAAACTAAAGTTTGCTAGAGGATTTCAAGGTTTAGGAATGGTGACCCTAAGTTTGGAAGGTATATAAGTACAGTGTGGGATTGGTAAGGGTCCTCAGAGTCTGTGTGCTTTACTGAACAGTACAGTACAGAGCCGGCTTGGCCTCGGTGCTGGGTACAGGACAGCCATGTAGCAGGCAGAAATCCTCTGGGGACCAAGCCAGGCTTCCCGGCCTCCCATGTCCTTCATAGGAGCCCCCTCCAGTGGCTCCGGGGGGAAGGCACAAACTTCTGGAGAACTCTCATATTCTTTGAGGGCTCTGGGTCCTAGAAGAGACCACCTCCCCAGGGACACCCTCTGGGCTTGGAGTCTCCCTGGCAGGCTGCTCCAGTGGCCCCTCCGAGCCCAGGCGGGGACCCCAGGCCTGGTCTTCCTGCAGGGCTGGAGTTCGAGCGCTGGCTCAATGCCACAGGCCCACCACTGGCTGAGCCAGACCTGTCTCAGGGGTCCAGCCTCACCCGGCCTGTAGAGACCCTCTTCCAGCTGTGGACTGCAGAACCCCTGGAGCAAGCAGCAGCTTCAGCCAGTGCCATTGACATCTCCAAGTGGAGGACCTTCCAGACAGCACTCTTCCTGGACCGGCTGCTAGATGGATCCCCGTTGCCCCAGGGTGGGTCCCACAGTCAGTAGGGCAGCCTGGGAAAGGGATGTGGCTCCACCCTAGCCCTGACCTGCCCACTGCCCCACAGAGGTGGTGATGAGCCTGTCCAAATGCTACTCATCCCTGCTGGACTCCATGAATGCTGAGATCCGCATCCGCTGGCTGCAGATCGTCGTCCGCAATGACTACTATCCTGATCTCCACAGGGTCCGCCGCTTCCTGGAGAGCCAGGTGCAGCTACATGCCTGGGGCATGACGGGGGGAGGAGGGCATCTCCCCCCATCGGATCTCCACTCGGGCAGGCCAGGCATGTTCTGGAGAGGGGACTGGAAGTCATCAGACCCAGAGTGAAAGTAGAGAGGTCCCAATAGAGGTGAGATGGGAGAAGAATGCAAAACTAGTTCAGAGTGGCCTGAACTCCACCACAGGGAAAAGCTGGGTACCAGAGTCCAGGGCTCTCCACTGGCATCAGCCTTGAACTAGCTGGACTTGAGGCCTGTAGGTTATCACCTTCCAGGTCTGGGTGCAGGGGCCATCCAAGCTTCTCGGGCAGATGCCAACATCCCCATCCCTTGCCGAGTCCTTCCAGGAGACAGCTTAGAGGGAGAGGTGAGGGTGAACCTGATGAGGGCGTTGTAGCATGTGAGTCGAGGCCCAAGTCGTCCTGAGCAGCTGGGGCACATCTGGGTCTGGGTGGTGGGAGGCGCCCAGGGAGCCGGCCGGTGTGACCAGGTGCTTTCCACAGATGTCGCGCATGTACACCATCCCACTGTACGAGGACCTCTGCACCGGCGCCCTCAAGTCCTTCGCACTGGAGGTCTTCTACCAGACACAGGGCCGGCTGCATCCCAACTTGCGCAGAACCATCCAGCAGATCCTGTCCCAGGGGCTAGGCCCCAGTGCTGAGGCCAGTGCAGAGACCAGCGCGGAGCTGGGCCGTGCTGAGGCAGACGCGAACCCAGACTCGCCAGCCCTGCTGCTCGGGGACGAGGCCCCCAGTAGCACCATCTCTCTCAGGGACGTCAATGTGTCTGCCTAGCCTTGGTGACTGACCCGCGACCTCTCAGACACCACGATTGTGCCTTTTTGTGGTCTGGGCCGCCATGACTGCGCCTTGGCTCTGGCCACGAGCTCTGCCCAGGACCATAGGCCCCTCCCGTTGGCTCCAGGCCAGGGGCGTGGGGAAAGGATCTTGTGTCCATTGAGGCCTGTGGACGAGGGCCCACCCTGTCCCTGCTCTCTTGCACTGCAGGCCCCAGGGCTGGCCAATACCCACCATGCCTCCTGTCCCAACACTGACAGCCATGCCTCACCCTGGAAGCCAGCATCTGCTAAACACTGCCCTGGGGACGGTGACCCCAGCAGACCCACAGCAACAACCACAATGTGCCTTACACATGCCAGAGGCCCAGGATGCGTGGTCCTGGAAGTGTGCTTTCCTGCAGAGCCTGTGTCTGGCCCCTGGGCTAGACTTGTTTGAGGGACAGGACAGAGGGACAAGGACGTGGGCATCCCATCAGTGTAGGGGCAGGGGACAGAAGGAGAGGATGGACCTCTCAAGCAGGCCTCAGTCTCTGCAGCTGGAGTCCAGGCCGCAGAGGTACAGGGAGTGGCCTGTCCTTGTGGCTACCTGGGTACCGTTGGTGCTCTCCATGCCTGCCTGCTGGGAGAGGCACTAGGCTGTGGGCTTCAGCCTGGGACCACTGCAGCGGGAATCATGATGACTGTCCCATTAAATCTCCACTCTGCAGACCTGACCTCCCTTCCTGTTTATCACTACCCTGTCTCTTGTACCTCCCCAGCTCCCAGGGGTAGGGCTGGAAGAGCTGAGAGCTGGTCACAGGAGTCATGGTCATAGCCTGTCCCAATAGACAGACATCAAGAAAGAGGTGGGGACCTACCTCAGAGGCCGAGATGGGGAGCAGTGGGTGGCCCCTTGTTCTTCTCAGCTCCTCGCTCAGAGCTTGGCTGAGCATGACTTCTTCAGGACCCTAAAGAGGCTGTTTGTCACCCTCATTCTGGACTTCACCTCTGTGACTCTGACCACACCTCTGCCTCGTGGCACTGGGGCACCCAGACCTCCACAACCGAAGTGCAAGGGAGGTGTGAGTGACAGGGATTCACCGGGAGTGCTGAGACTGAACTCGAGCTTGGCAAGCTGTGGCGTTAGAGATCTACTGACAAAGGGGAGCTCCGCGCTCACGGGGTGTCAAGTGGAGCCACATCTCGTGGTTTCTCAAAGACAAGCTGGTGGCAGGGCCACCGCTGGGAACTTTGGCAGTGTGCTGTGGCATGTCTTTGGTCCGGGCCCACTGCCAGACCCAGTCACAGCCAGCTCCACAAGTGGTCCCAGGAAAAGGTGAAATGAATAATGAAGCCTCCGCCCACTATCCAGTGACCCCCAGTCACAAAATGTCCCATTCCCCTTCCTTCCTTTTCAGGGATCCCCTCAGCAGAGGCAGCCAGTGTCCTCTAGTCATACACCCCAAACGAGTCCAGGAGTTAGGACCACCTCTCCTTGGGCAGTTTATGTGCCCACCACGGCACGGCCTGAGGCTCTACCCGTCACAACCAGCAGGGGGCGCAGGGGACACCCGCAGTGACTGCGGCCTCACAGAAGAGAGGTGTTACTGTTCTCACTGCTGTGACAATGTATCTGGTGGAAACAAAGAACAATTTGCTGTGGCTGTTTTTTTCAGGTCTTAGTGGCAGGGAAGGAATGGTGGCAGGAGAAGCTTGTCAGTGGCAGTGGGGGCTTGTTGAGATTCCTCAGTACGACCCAGCAGAGACAATCCAGAGCTACAGGCAAACAGAACCGGAAGGCCAGCCCCTGGGGACCTGTTTCCACCAGCCGGGCCCTGTCTCCTAAAGGTTCCAGAGCCTCCAAAACAGCGCCATAAACTGATGGCCAGGTGTTCCAGATCTGAGCCTGGATTGCGGGCAGGGGGCACTTTCAGATTTAAAACATAATGGGGGGCTGGGGGTTGTTGTCTGATCTCAAGCCTCATCCGGTGGCATGGCCAAGAGTCCTGGGTATTCCACTCAGCTTTGCTCTCCCTGGCCCAGGGGCCACCATCCAGAGGGGTCACACCTGAAGGTGTCCGGACACACAGCCCTCTTCAACGGCACAATTGCTTTCAACCTGTTCCTGCTAGCACGGCTTTCAAGTCTGTCACCACAGACTCATCTAGGCGTCTCATTTCTTTGTCAAGTTGACACCTTTGTGGTCTCCCAGAGCGTGGATTCCAACTCTAGGTGCCCGCCCCCCGCCACCCCCCCACACCTCCCCCACCCCGCTATATCCACACGTGTCCTCCAGACACTCCTTCAATCTGTACAAAATCAGAAATGGCTCCCCACAGTTACAACCATGGAACTAGAATGCCATCCTTGATGTCAATCTGCTGTGGCTCTGTGTGCCATGAGAGGTACAGAGGAGCACGCTTTCAACCACATCCAAGAATTCCTGGGTGCCCTGTGCCCTTTCTCCAGCTGGCGGAGCTGGACTGCCTTGGAGTTTCTTCCCTGTGATATCTGGCTAGGGCAGCCTGCAGCTGTCACTTACACCAGTGTTCCCAGCTTCCTCTGCTGTGCCCGGCTCACTCTTCCATACACTGTGCCTTGTGAGTCATCCATCGCAGGCGGGCTTGAGCAGATGCTTTGCCCTCACATCCCATGGCGCAGACCAACATTTTCAATCCCAATGTTTGCTGCCATCCACAGCCTACCCCAGTCAATACCACATGCCCAGTGTCCTGTTGGCCAGCATCCCTCCTCCAAGAGGGCTTCTGCGTAAAGGACTAACGTATATTCCAACCACAGATGATGGTGAGAGCCACACAGGGATGGTGGGGGTTGGTTGTCTTTCTCTCCCTCGCGGGCTGCACAGGGACCTGTGCTGATGGAGAGGATTTCATGTGTTTCCAGGCAGTGTGCCAGGGATTAAAATGTGCCATAGAGGGGGTCATGTCTCATTTGTACTCCCATAGCCCACCCTGCCCTGTGCATAGGATTATTTAGCAGTTAGTACCAGTTAAGGAGCCAGGGTTGAAAGGTTGGGATATTTCATCTCAAAAGTGTGGTGTCAATGAAGCTGTGTGTAAGGATTTAAAAAAAAAAAAAAATGGACCAGGCCCTGCAGTGATGGCTTAGTGGTTAAGAGCACAGACTTGTTTTTCCTGAGGACCCAGGTTCCATTCCCAACACTCAACATAGCTACTTGCAACTATAATTCCAGTTCTAGGAGTTCTGACGCCCTCTTCTGACCTCTCTGGGTACCAGGCTCAGAGACGGTGCACAGATGTTTATGTAAACCAAACACCCATACATGTAAAATGAATTTTAAAAACATTTCAGAGGCCAGGCTTCTGATGGAAGTGACTGGAATCCACAGAGACCTGAAGCCTGCCTGAGGCAGTGGTATGAGGAGATGGTGGGTCTGCATGTAGTCCCTGTGTTACCTAGAGCCTTTACTCGGGTCCTTCAGGCTCAGATAAAGTTTTCTGAGATCCTTTTTCAGGCCATGTCCTGTGCAGTCTGGAATGTCCATTAGCGCTCTCCTTCATAGAGACTTGGAAAGTTTTCTGAGGAACTTCTGGCATAAAGACAAGGCACAACTGAGGTCACCCACTGGTTAGTGCCAACAATGCAAAGGACAACATGGAACAAATCAAGCTTGCACTTGAGACACAGCTGTGGAACACTGGCAGAGAACTTGAGAACACACGGCTCAGATATAAACAGGAGAAGGTGTAGAATAGACTACACAGATAGCAATAAGCCCTGGGAAACAGTGGCAGTGGTAACAGAAATGCCAGAGACCTTGGACTTTTTCATTAATAATTTATATGGGAAACACTGGGGTTGATGATAGTGTTTTCATAGTGTGTATATTATGCTCACTCACTTTTTTCTCATATCCCACTTTGCCACTAAACAAATTTCCTCCCATCCCCTTCTTCACTCACTCCCTTCTTCCCTCCTTTCTTTATTCTACATATTAGAGAAAACAGGTTTTCTGAGTCTGGCTTCTTTTTATTCTGTGCATGTGAGTGTTTGCCTCTATGTACACAGGTCATCTGCAAGAGCAGCCAGGGTTCTTAACCACTGAACCATCTTTCCAGAAAAACCCAGCTTTTTTCTGTTAACATGATAATCTCTAGTTCTAGCAAATTCCCTGCCAAGGCCATAGTTTCATTCTTCTCTGTGGCTGAATAATACTGCACTGTATTTACTTCCATGTTTCCCTATCCATTCATCTGTTGATGGACATCTAAACTAATACCATATCTTGACTGTAGTGAACAGTGCTACAGTAAAAACAGATGCACAGGTAACTCTGTTGTAGGCTGACATACTCCCTCAGATACAAACCCAGGAGTGGTTTAGCTTGATGGTTATAGTTTTAATTTTTTTAAAGAACTTCCATATTGATTTCTATGGTAGCTGCACTAGTTTACATTACCTCCAGCAATTTTTGTTTGTTTTGTTGATTATATTAATTATTCTGGCTGATAAAATCTCAATGTATGGTGTGTGTGTGTGTGTGTGTGTGTGTGTGTGTGTGTGTGTGTGTATGTGTGTGTGTTCTTAAATAGCTACATATGACAATATAGTTTTAAATTTGAATTTCCCTGATGGCTTAGGTGTTGAGATTTTTCATCTATTTATCGGTCATTTGCATTTTTATTATATGTATTCATTTGTTGTGTGTGTGGATGCACGTGTGGCATTGGTGTGCATGTGGAGGTCAGAATAATATATGGGAATAGACTCCCTCCTTCTTCTGTCTGGGTTCCACAGATCGAACTCCGTTTTCAGACTTGATGGAAAGCACCTTTACCTGCCAAGCCCTCTCCCCTGATCTTGTATTTATTCCTTCGAGAACTGTCTGTTGAATTCACTTGCTCATTTAATGGTTGAATGATTTGTGTGGGGTGGGGTTTTGGTATCTAATCTAATTGGGTTCTTTATAGATGCTGGATATTAGTCTCCTGTCCGATGTACAGTGGGCAAAGGTTTCTTCTGCTCTACGCTGTCTCTTCACTTTCTTTTGCTACACAGGAGCTTTTTAATTTTGTGCAATCCTGTAGCTAGAGTTTTCCTGCCT